ATTTTTCTGTCTCTCTCATCGTGCTAAGCTCGAAGAGCATGAAGACCCTTGGTCCGAGCGCGGAAGCTCAAATAGAGCGCGGGAAGAACTGATGTCGCTCGCAGCGTAACTGAAATCGCTACATGGTGGCGTATGCCGAAAAGCAAATAGCGATGAAACTGAGCATCACAAAGTAGAATCATGGCACTACTGATGTAGGCATGAAGCAACGGGTAATCTGACATTTTTGATGTAGAGCTGACTTTTCGTTTTTACAGACACTCGCGCGAGGTAAAAAAAACCAAAGATAGGACACATTTTGGTGTGACAATAAAACAATAACTGAATCTTTAGACTTCTTGCTTCTCCTCCTCTTTCTCAGAAGCGGAGTCGTGCTCGGATTCCTCCTTTTCCGGTTTACTGGTGGTAGTTGATTTTTTGGAACCGCCCTGGTTTTTGCCGCCTCCCTTCTTCTGGGACTTGGATGTCGAGGAGGAAGCGCGGTTCGGGAAATACTTAGTCAGATTGCTACCCTTGTAAATATTACCGTCCATCCAACTAAAATAACCAATGTCTTTCAACGCCGAACGACCTAACGCGGTGCGTTTGATCTTCTTGAACTGCGTTTTGGTCAATTGGGTTTTGGACGTAGGGCGCAATCCCCCTTTCTCGCATGACACGCAACCGCTTCGATCCTTGATCTCCGTGTTGGAACAGGGCGCGCACTTCAGGTAGTGCCAGCAGACTTTCATCGCTTTCTCCCCCGCTTCCTGGTTCGTAGAGTGGGTTCCGCCACCGGTACGGCGGGGGGATCTGGAGCGATCACGGCCCGTGGAGTCCGGGGTGTCTGGCAATCCGAGCATGCTCCTGATTTCGTCGTCGTTGAACATGTGCGCAGTTTGATGCGTCATGGTGCAGAGGTTGTTCAACTTGTATTTAAATCCCGCCGCATTCGATTCCGGCAGGGAAAAGAAGTTGTACACCCGGTCTTGATATGTGGTTGCGGTCGGGACTCCGTCGATCATGACCGTGGAAGCAGGAGCGAGGGCATCGCAGGAAGACGATAGCACTTCGTAGAATTTTCCTGTGATGATCCTTTCCCACTTCTCCTTTGATGTGTGTGGCGGCACCGCTTTCATGTGGTCGTCCACGAACAACACTAACCGGCTCGCCGTTTCGAAATCTTCGAACACGGCCGGGACTTTCCCGGAGACGGCTAAATACCGGATGAGCGTACTGGGTTTCATCGGGACTGTTTTTTCCACTTTTTTCGTATCCAAAGTCTGGATCTGATTCTTGTACAGATACTTCGCCCCAACATGCCCGGCGGAGTGCAGCGACTTATCCCTCACCATCGCGGTGATGGCTTTGCAGGACTCGAGCGCCACTCGATCACTGCGCGGGATGTGGTCTGCAGAATCCGCGTACGCAGCAACTTCCAGCTCGGTATCCGGCTGTTGTGGGTGGAAGGGATCGTTTGCCGCGGGAAAAGCAGCACCGAACTGGTTGAAGAAGCCGTTAAAACCATGCTGCATGTTCTGCATGTTGGCGCTCTGCTGTGCGAGGTAGTTGCTCTGCATCATGGTTTGAAAATAGTACTGCTGGGCGTAGTATGCCTGCCACGCCGGGTCGATTCCCTGCATGTTCATGTTCATGCCGGGGGCGACAACCGGTGCCGGACCGGCTGGGACCGGTGGTGCTCCGGGCACTGGTGGTGCTCCTCCCGCAACTGGTGGCGCTGCGGCCGCAGGCGGTGCCGCGACAACTGGTGGCGCCACTGCGACTGGTGGTGCTCCGACCACAGCTGGCGGTGCGGGTGGTGGGACTGGCGGAGCAATCAGCGGTGCGACTGGGGGAATGATGGGTCCAGCAACCGGCACGACTGGGCCCGGTGGGGGGACAACTGGTGCTACCGCGGGTAAAGCCGGGGGGACGACTGGTGGGGCAACTACACCTCCTTTGCCTCCGCCCTTTTTCGGGATGACTGGTCCCTTCACGTTGATGGGTCCTTTTCCTCCACCGGCTTTCGCCTTCGGGCCGACTGGCGCATTCGCTTTTGGTGCGACTGCGCCATCGCCTCCTCCTGCGCCGGCACCTGCAGCGGGGTTGATGACTAATCCTGGCGGGAGCACCGGTAACGGCGGCGGAACAGGTCCTGGCGCGGCAGGGACTAGCGGGTCAGCGCCGAGGACGCCGGCACCCGGGCCTCCGGCGACCTGCGCCATGGCACCAGCGTTCAGCGACATGTTGAGAATTTTTAGTGGTAAATGCTCTTCTGTGATTTTGGTGAAATTGAAATGAAAACAAGAAGACGGCGAAGAAGTGTCTCTCTCATGCTGCGTGTGCCAGGTTTGCAAAACTCTTTGCAAATGAACTTTGAATCGCACTCGCTCTTGAACTGATGAAGAGAAGAAGAAATCTGAGGACTCTCAGTGGAATGGCAAGTTTGAAGGGAACAACTGCAACTGCAGGAACAGCGCCAAGGTGCTTGCAAGTAAATACTCTCCGAGTGGGAGCGCAAGCGGAGTTATCATTTCAAAAAATTTTTTGCTCAGCATAATGTTAGAAGTCGTCACGTGTGGAATGAATGTCACGGAATGAAGGAAAGACCAGCAAATTTGTTATGGGGATACTGATTTCCTCTGTTATAATACTCAATCATAGATTCCGTTTTCCACCGGAGATGACAACCAGCACGACTTTTCCCAAGCCGGCACGACATAAGGCGCTGTAAGCATCCTATGCGTAAGGATTGCGTGCGGGAGGTGCCGAAAAATGATGTAAAATCAGCAACAAAACAGTGTCGCCAGTCGTCGAATCCGACTTCGTCCAAAATTGGTATGGTGACGTGTGGGCAGATTGCCTCTAAATCAGTACCACGCAGGCACTTCACGTACACCCGTCGAATGTAATTCGACTTGAGAATATATGCGTCTAAATTTAGACAAAAGACTCCTGCAGCACGATTGAATGAAAAATCGCCTGAGAAGTGTTTGCGTGAGTTATGATCGCGAGAAACTAGGTGTAAATTCTGCATGGCTTCTTCGTAAGAGCCACCATCTTCCTCGTCGGAGGGTGAGTCTTCAAACTGGACCTGCTGGGAAGCGTATCTTTCGCTGTTGCCGAATTTTATGTGGTTCACGAGCGTGGTCTTGCGTAATCCGAAAAGAAATCCGATCGAACACGCCGCAGCGAACTGTTGCTTCCGCTTGTACACTGGTTGCGCTACTTCTAGCAACTCCTCGACGAGGACTGGGGGCGCCTGCGTATGCGCGAATTTTCCAGTCCTCTTTTGCCGCGTGACAATCTGGGAAAGCAACACTTTGTCCGCCTGTCCCAAGATGCTGCCCCCGGGGATTGCTTCGAGCCTCGCTACTACTGACCAAAGGTAGTCGTCGGCGGTAGCGTAGAACGACCGTGACGCATCGTCGCCCACCAGAGCGGCGAAGAAGTAGACGGCGTGGTCCCGCGTCATTGGCCACGGCTTCTTCAGAAAGCCTAACCCGGGGTGGACTGATGCCCGCGTGCAGAACTGAAAATAACACTTCATCCTTGCATCTTCTGTCGCCGAGGCGGGGCGCTTGGTGATCAACTCCTTTGCAGCTTGGAGACGGAAGAAGTCGTCCACCAGCTCGAAAGCTTCCTCCTTCTGCCTGCTGGACTTCTGCTTGCTGGGGTCGTGGGCGTCCCTGTACAGCTTCAATACTTTCGGGTGCGATGCTACCTCGCTGAAGAAACCTGGGGCGAACTGGGCTGAAGTTTTGGAGGAAGAGGGGATTATGCTGCTGGCCGCCAATGCGGTGTCACCACACGCAGCTACTGCTGCTGCGAATACGTCTTCTTCCGTGGCTGCCCGTGTTCGTGGTTCAAACTGGAGTATGGGCTGCTGTGGGATAGCGGAGCCGAAAGGGTCTGACATGCACCGTGGTCTGCTAATTGCGTTCGGGAACTTGTGATGTCGCCCGGACGGGGCTTTCCTCTGGACGGCAGACGACGGTCTAACTGCCGTTGGCTTCTGGGGCCGCTTGCACACGAAAGCAGCATCGCTACTCTGAGTTTCAGAAGCGAGACGAAGAGCGGAGCGAACGGAAGACGTTTTAAACTGTAGGGTGGGATCAACTGATCAAATGGGTGGGAAAAAATAGAATGTGAGCAAGAATTGCTCGCCGACCTCATTGCTTGCGCCCTTTCTCATGCGCTCGCCGCACGATTCTCTCATCAGAAAAATTTC